ATAATTCTCTTGGGAAACTTTGGGCCAGCAATCGCGTTATTTCACATGCATCCCTCTGAAGAAGAAACCATGATATGCAAACTAGCTAGTGTATATATAGTTACAGTTTAATAATCGTGGATTAGAAGGAAAAGGAACTGAATCGCTGAAAGCAGTGCTGATACGGTAAGAATCAGAATTTCATCACGTGACTAAAGGACGGAATTTAACTATCAGAATAAATTAGGGAAGTTAGGATTATTAAAATAGCATTGATTTAAGTTAAGTATTCGGATTTAGTACGCTTATTCACAAAGGGTTTGAGCTCTCTATATCACTCCAAAGATTCCCTTTATAGTTTGCTTGTCTTGGACTATTATCCTTGGTAATAATAAATTGGATTTATAATGGTTAGTCTGAGTCACACATTCATCTTTACCTCCTACAGATTTAGGTCAATTAGATGACGAGGAAGCGTCCCCAGGGGTGAGGCCTTTACATAACATTTAACATAAAAAATAAGATCTAAATTTAAGGGTGCGCGTTATATGACGGGTATAAAAGGGAGAGCTTAAAAAAAAAGGGGATGAGCATAGAAAATTTACACTTCTACATATATCAAAATACTGTTCATATAAAAGAAATGGCATTACTTATGAATTTAAAGGTGTAGCTGTAGAAATATACTATTTTTTCTATAGATTAGAATAATATTTCGAATAAATGACTTCAAAACAACAGCATTGCACACACATATATCAGGTTTCTTTGTAAATAAAGGGGGTGCGCGTTATACGGCGAATATACCTTAAAAATTAAAAATTACAGCTTGAAAGTATAAATGCGCGTTATATGTCGGATTTTACGGTATATATAATTTTTTATCTCTTTCTTGAGAAAAAAAACATCGACGGTTTAATTTTTTTGTATATCATTGAAAATAATTCAGAATTCATCCGATGTTCATCTCTGATAGCAAAAATTAAAAAATAGTAATAAAAAAATATCAAACTGTGGAAAAAATGTAAACTATATATCACTCTGTAATGTTTTTTTTTTATCTACCACTTCTCATAACTTTTAATTGAAAGTAAATATTTTTAATTTTAAGGAATTTGTGCATAATTTCTACTAATTTTTATCACATTTTTAAAAATGAAAACAATTATTTTTATGCTTGATTCATTCATATGCATGATTTCATGTTTTGTTAATGTTATAACACAAATACGACTTTTTTTAAAAAAAAAAGTCTCTAAAGTTAATTGAAGTAAATTTACCGTCATATTNATTTCTACTAATTTTTATCACATTTTTAAAAATGAAAACAATTATTTTTATGCTTGATTCATTCATATGCATGATTTCATGTTTTGTTAATGTTATAACACAAATACGACTTTTTTTAAAAAAAAAGTCTCTAAAGTTAATTGAAGTAAATTTACCGTCATATTGCATAGATGCCCAGTGTTTTCGGATTAAAATGCGCTTGAAAATAACTATTTTTACCAGTTAAATTTCATAATATAAATTTCCAAATACAAACAAATTTAAATACTTTTAAAATAAATTTCAACTGGAACGTTTACTAAATATATGTATCTAACTTATTATGTTTTAAATTGAACATTTTTTTATGTATGCAATCAGCTTAATGATGACATTTAAATTCCCGAAGAAAATTTAAAGTGTCCTTTAAAATGTTTTAAAAGCATCCTTTTATATTAGAAATAAAATCATACTTTTGATTAGATTACATCATTAATAATCATTTTATAATATCAGTTTTTGAATTCAAGAATCGGATGGCTAAAGAGATGTGTACAATAAAATGATAATTTTTCAGTTTTTCAAAATTTTTATTATTTGATTAAAAAAGTATTATAAAATTTTTTTAAAGTCAATTCCTACTTAAATCAACAAAGAAAAATTCTATTTTATTTACTTTTTATCATATAACTTCAATTAACATATATATGACAGTATCACTATGTTAAGTGGCAATTAATTTTTATTAATTATTATTAAGGTATCGTATTGTCATCTTAAACAATCGGGTATATTAAATTTCTTCAACTCAATGCTTTAAAACGTGAGTGAATATTAACGTCGCACTATTCAGCTACACGGTGGTTATTGGCGACGAGCCTCGTAATTTTGAACCATGGTCAAGCGACGAGGACGACACTTGAGCTGACATCTCGCTACCCTAACCACCACACCAACGGGAGGACGTTTGAGCTCTCGATGGATTTGACGTGCATCGCTCCTCTACACGGTGGTTCTTTAGTGGTATTGCGCTCAAACTGATGACATGCCTGCCATGATGCGATACCTTGACCACTGTGCTACAGCAGCCCTTTTTAAAACGCGAGAAAAAATCTCTTAAAGTTTTGACCCAAGTTGCTAAAAATGAAACCAACGTGGCTGTGTATCTGTAATTTTTTAAATAATTAGATTTAGTCAATTAATTTTAATTAATTATAATTAAATTATTGTATTCTCACCCAAAACAATCGTGTATAGAAAGTTTCAGCTCAAATCAGCGTTTAAAAAGGTGAGAAAAAACCTTATTTAGTTTTGACACAAGTCACCAAAATAATTGATAAGTCACCAAAAATGATGCTAGCGTGGCTGTATTTGTAATTTTTTGAATAATTAGTTTCAATCAATTAATTTTTATTAATTATAATTAAATTACCGTACCCAAAATAATCGTGTATATAAAATTTCAACTCAATTGATCACTTTAAAATGTATTTTATTAACGATTGAAAATTTGAACAAGATATGTACGAGGAGATTGTGTACTAATAATAGGAATTGAAATAGACATATTTGGATTTTTTTTTATAAAAACCAACGTTTAATTTCCTCAACTTATAAATTTTTTCCCCTTTTTCTTCCGAATTATTTTATTTTTTAAAATAATACGTAAGAAATGAACACTACACAGTATTAGTAAACGTAAGACAATTATCCATTGATAAAAGAATGTCAAGAATTAAAAAGAAAAAGTGCAAGGAGATGGAATAAAATTTCTGGAAAGTGTCATGCCTTTCGTAAATATAATAAAGTCGTTAAATATCAGATATACAAGAGTTTTTATATTTTTTAATCCAAAATAATTTTTCCCCGTTTCTTTCAGCCAGACGCAGAAGGCGACTCGACCGTCTCTTGTTAATTAGATAAGATTATAGTGAAAATGATAAGGATAGGGCTGGAAGGCAATAATAAAAAAATAGAGAAAAGAAAAAAAAGTTGAGATATTAATGTTTTATGCAGAGTTTTTGAAATCTTTCCCATTTTACTTCATGTTCACTTTTGAGTTTAAAAAAACGACAGATAGCTAAATTAAATAATGACGAACTAAAAAAATATGTCTGTTTTTTAAAACTTTTGATTCTCTTTTCTAAATGAACATTTTGCCATTTTATATAAACGAACTTTTACAGACAAGAAATTAAAGCGTTTTATTCGACATAGATTAAATTAAAGGTAAATCAGTATGTAAAATTGCTGCTGAAACTTATATAATTAAAAATAGTCTTTGAAAAGTTACTTTGAAATTTATTTTTTATTTGCAAAATTGAAAATAATTTTAAAAACCTGTCCACTTAAAGAGGGAATGAAAGCCAAAGATTTAAAAAAATTAAATGTACTTTAAAAACGCCTTATATTTTATTATATTTCTTTATCACTAGCTTATACAACCCAAAATATAGGTTTCAATTTTAACCAAAATACTTAATGAAAATATCGTATAGTAGGTAATATCGTACCCTTAATGAAAATTATTCAGCTACAACAAACATTCTGTGTTATAAATGACAAAAATAATGATGTTGAGAGAAGTGAAAATTAGTATGAACGAGTAATATATATATATTTTTTTAAAGTCAATTCCTACTTCGTTAGAAAAACGTACTGGTGTCATTTGTGTGTTGCAGCTAGTTGCAACTTCGACAGAAATAACACAGAATAAATTTAAAATTAAAAAATAAAATGTAATTACAGAATTAGTATTTGAAAAAACTGTATTTACATCAAGTGCCATCCACTATAAGTTTAAAAAATGCATTTGAACTTGAATGGTTGAGAAGAAAGTATTTTATTAACGATTGAAAATTTGAACAAGATATGTATATATATGTAGGGAGAGAGAGAACTAATAGTAGAGAGAGAGCAACTGAAAAATAACTGTTACTTGTTTATCTCAGTACTAAAAACGCATGTTGTGAAATCTGAACGAGCTTTAAAAACTCTCATCAACAACAAATTTTCATGCAAAATTTAAATAAATAAATAAATTGGAACATATTGCACTATATTCAATAACACCACTGAGTTAAAACTAATCTCTTCACTTACCGCAGGAAGAAACTGTCTATTTGATTTGAAGATTCACCGAATCATCTTTAACTTATTTAGTTATATATTATTTAATAATTTTGGAAATATAAAGTTTTGTTTTAAAAAAATCCTAATATTTTTTTCTTAAGAAAAACATTTAATGCGAACACAGATTAATCAAATTATTTTATTGTATTTATTTAATTTTAAAACAGTGTTAGTTTCCTTTAATATTTTCAATTTCAAACAAATTGAATGAATTGTAGAATCTTTTTGCTTTCATATAATACATATCTTAATTAGTTGAATTTCATTTAATTCCTTTGTAATCTTCTTTTTGTGTTTAAAAAAATTCTAAATCTTAAAACATATATGAGATACAAGTAATATAAAAAAATTGAGTCAATTTCTACTTAGGTCACCAAATAAAAAGTTTATTTGCTACTTTTAGTTAAATAGTTACAAATAATATAAATATGTATATACACATGACAAAATCACACTATTAAAGTGACAAAATAGAAAGCTATTTTCCTTGCAATTTTCTTCCTTTTTGTATAGGGTATTGGACTACCTTTTTTTGTTTGTTATTAATTATTCATTTTTTTTTAATTTAATTATTTTAAAGAAATAGTATAGTAAAAAAATCACATTCTCAGAAATGAGTCCATCCCAGGTGGGATTTCAACCCACGGTCTTTGGATTAGAAGTCCAACATGCTATCCATTGCGCTACTAGGACACAACGGGCAATTTTCTCTATAATATTTGCTGTTTGACTATAATTCTTTTTGTTAATAATTATTCATTTTTTAATTTAATTAATGAATTAATATTCGAAAAAAACTGTATTAACATCAAGTGTCATCCACTGCAAGTTTAAAAAAAGTGTTTTTGAACTTGAATGGATGAATAGAAAGTATTTTATCAACGATTGAAAATTTGAACAAGATTATATATATATATATATATGGGGAGAGAAAGAACTAATAGAAGGAATTGAATAAACAACAAAGATGAAATCATGAAATGAAATGAAAAACAAAATGAAGATGAATTAATTTATAAAACATCACTTTCCAGAGCAACCGAAAAACTTTGGCGACGGATCTACTAAATTAAGTCTTGGTCTAGTTACGAGGATAAAACTGAGCTGATAACTAACTTTGAAAACTTCCCCACCACGCCAGAGTAATGATTTAAAGACTCAACACAAATTTAAAGTGCATCAATCTACCTCTACATAGTCTGGTCTGGTAAATTAGTGATTTTACAATATTATTTTATTCATGGTTGAGTTTATATTTTCCCTTTCCCAAATACGCGTTCCTTTTTAAAACTATAAATCATAAGTAATATTCCTAACGATTTATTTAAAATGCTATAATTTGGATTCAGGTTTTATTTCGATTATTTTCCTGATTTCTTTGTGAAGAAAGAATTCTTATCACTTAAAATCGCCAAAAGAATTAAAAGTCATTCTTGAGGAGAATGCTCTAGTTTCGAAAAAAAAAAAGATTTCTTTCTTTTCATGAGCCTTGTGGCGGCCAAAATTGTGGACACTTTTTTCAATTGTTATGTTTTTTAAGTTTGTATGCTCTTAGAAAATTTTGTTTTGCCCAAAATGCTAAGTATTTTATATCATTTTATAGAGAATTTAATACTAAATTCAATATAGAAAAAAAAATTCAAGTATTTGCAACGCAATAAGAGTTATGCTTCAATAACTGTCGATATACATTGGATACTGATGATAGAATTGAGTTACCAGAGCTTAGTGAGGTTACGTTTATTCTTTCTTACAGCTTCACATCGATGTTTTTTTGAGATGAAAATAGTTTGAAGCTCTTCCTTCGTTATTACATGATGCCAGGAAAAATTATATCCTCAATTATTTCCTTTTTATTTCATGGGTACCTTATTTGGACAAGAGTTTTCAAACGATGCCACAAGTTTTCGATAGGATTGAGGTCAGGACTGTTTCCTTGTCAGGATAACAATGATATATAGTCAAAAAGAACAATGACATCTAATAAAAGAGTAGATTGGATACAAGTGTGAAGAGAAAGTGGTTTTTCCTTTGTTAAAATTACATAATAGGAGGGTAATTCAGTGACTACATTTGCAGACTGAACGTTTTGTTTAAGATGTCAGGAGACCAATTCAATAAAAACAAAGCAGGAAAAGGTGAAAAAAGGTGCAACACATCTGTTGATGACATAAGAATAAAAATACTATGATTCAGAGATAAAAGAATTTCTCACATGGACATCTATCAGAAGTGATTTGAGCGATGCTGGTGTTTCTGTCAGTTCAAAAGCAAAAAGAAGTAGATTAGAAGATACAAGACTAAAAAGTTAGAATTCCACGAAAAAAGCCCTATCTCAATTTACAGCAGCACTAAAAGGGACTACAGTGGGCAATGGAACACATTAATTGGACAATTAGTTATTTTTACCAATTTATATGGAGGGAGGAAACTAAAATATCGTTTTTCAGTAGTGATAGCCTAAAATATTTAAGACGTAGAAACCAGAAACGCTGCATACTGACTGCATTTTGGCAACTGTGAAGAACCCACTTAGTTTTATTATTTCGTCATGCATATCAGCAGATGATATTGGTCACCTTCATATCATCGATGAAACACTGAATGTCATAAAATGCATTGACACCATTCTAGAACCCAAGCTTCTGCCTTCTAACAGGGATCTATTTAGCAACAATGCTTCATTTATTTTTCAGCAAGAATCTACTCCTTGCAGCACAGTACAGTAATTTAACGACTGGCACCGTTCTAAGATTATTGCGTTTTTGTGCTGGCTAGGAAGCAGTCCTGACCTCGATCCTATTAAAAACTTGCGACACCGTTTGAATACTCTTGTCCGAATGAGGTACCCATGAAAGAAAAAGGAGTTAATTGAGGATATAATTGTTTCCAGGCATCATGTTTTAACGAAGGAAGAGTTTAAACTAATTTTCAGCTCAATGAAACATCGATTTGAAGCTGTAATAAAGAATAAACGCAATCTCACTAAGCTCTGATAACTCACTGCTATCATCAGTATCCAATGTATATGGACAGTTATTGCAGCATAACTATTTTTGCGTTGAAATTATTTGTATTTTCTATTCTATATTGAATTTAGTATTAAATGTTCTTTAAAATGATATAAAATACTTAGTATTTTGTGTAATACACAATTTTCTATAAGCATACAAGCTTAAAAAAACATAGCAACTGAAAAAAGTGTTCACAATTTTGGCCACCTCTGTAAGTTGGTAAAAATTTTCTACAGAGGTGGAGCTAAATAAATAATTTGTTTTATTTTCGTTTTACCACACTGTTAAGACACACACACATATTTTGAGCCCATAAATATTCAATAACAATTATTAAATTTTTTTTTGTTTTCTATGGAGCTGCGGATTAATATTTACCTTTGAAGACATAGTACACATTCCCCGGGAGTTGGTATCACTTTTTTAAGTGCGGCACCTTATCGGAGGAGTATCAATCACCGCAATGTAATTTTAACGTCCATGTGTCTCTCCAGAGGGAGGCACCTAAGCCCTGACATATTATATTCCTATTTATAATATTTATTTGTTTAAATATATTTTTTTAATTAAAATAACATTACTGATATAAAAATGCTAATATATATGCCACTCAACAAATGTTTATAGCAGTTCCAGTCTTAATATGAATTATATATGAATTAATAAACTTCATTTATAAATTTATTTTCAAAATCGTTTTACATGAATTGAATAAAAGTATTCATTGCTAAATTTTTATTACAACAAACTTAATTTTAGCATGAACGAAGTAAACAATACTGAAATTAATTAAAAAAATATTAATTTGAATAAGAATAAGAAATAAAATATAATAGATTTTAAAATTATATAAACATTATTTAGAAGAATTATACAAGTATACCTTCATTCACATTAAAAAAGAGAATTTGGAATTCAATTTCACGAATAAAATATATTTCGGGGAGTCAGAAAAACAAATCTATTTGAAATGTGCATTGCTCAATGTGTGTTGTGAGAAATTTTCTTCATAACAAACAAACAAAATGATAAATAAACAAACAAAAACTTAAATTACAGTCTCTCTGAGTAGAAAATATCCAGACCTTGATAACAGAAATAAATAAAAAATTAGAAAACACAGACAAAGAAATGAGGAAATGACATAATATTTTCTTTAAAGTGGCATTTTATAGATGAATTTAATCAGAACTTTAAGCACACATCTTCCATTTTGGAAAAAAAATTATAATTACTTCAAAAATTTTTACTATTTCTTTCCCTAGCTTAACTCGATAGTAGAAATTGTTTCGAGAAATTTATGAAAGATTAACGTGTGGAAGATAGCTCAGGAATACTGTGTACCGCTATTAAGGGAGAAAAATAAAGAAATAAGATATTAATATTTCATATTACTTTTTAGACATCTTTTTCTTCACTAGATAATTTTTACAAGAAAAAAATAATCCACATTTAGTGAAATAATGTCCCGAATAAAAATATGTTCTTGAGATAAAGGTCTGAATTTACTTCTACTTATTTTAAATGGTGCAGAAGCAGAAATAATTTAGTTATGAGCTATATTATCATCTGAAAATATGGATGTATGTATAGTTTATTTAGTTATTTTTAATGAGTTATTTATTCCTCATTACTTACATTGAAAAAAGCACTACATTCTTCGGTTGGAGGGAATCAATCATTCAATGCTCTATTTAATATCATGCATGCACATAAATTATTCCATAATCATTGTTTCTTTAAAAAAAAATTAGTAAATAAGTAAAAACGCTTTTTTTAGATAATCAATACATAATTGACGTGTGCAATGTGGCGTCGTGTTAAAACTCAGAATTGAGTCCCCGTATGATCAAGAGAATTATATGGTTAGCCCTGCATTCCTCGTACATGTGATGGTTTCCGTTTTTACCTGAATCGATCTGAAAGGGACGCATTCATAGATATTCTCGTTTTGGAACTATTAGGTCTACACACTTGAAATTTAGCAGTCGTGTTCATTTTATAGAGTAGAGATACGGGCTATTGCAAAAATCGACGAAAAAGGAGCGTTGAGAGAACATAACTGGTGTTACAAATTAATATTCTTATTTTTGTACTATTTGTCCTACACACTGAGACATAGCCATCCTGTGATGACTATGTCTATTAGGTTCCGCGTAAGCTAGAGGTGTGGGATTATCTAAATGATGAGACATTTTGGATTCTTAACACAACTTTTATTAAGAATAACTTAAATTACTTAATTTTAATTAACAACTTTCTTAAAGTGAGAGTTAACACCTAATTAAACCTTATATTCAAGTCAGATCGCGCAACTAGATCACTTATCTTAATTATAATAATTTAACTGATTAATCTAACTTCCTATACAAAATATTACCTCTTGTAGAGTCACCTTCCTTCATCGATTGAGTAATACCTATAACGTAACTTTAGATGAGAAGATTCAGACTTCCTTATAATTTAATTTATATGAACGTATCCTTCTTCCAGAGCTATAGGACATCTAATACTTGATCCGAATGATTCCACACTAAGTTATCTCAAGACTTGCCGCTCCTTCTCGTCAAAGCTTCTATCCTTTTAAAGTATATCTCATTTACATATTCGATCCGTTTGTCTTCTTGGTATTGGGTTGGAAAGGTTTTGCCATTAATCGTGGCCGTCAAAGAACTTAGG